CCCGACTAAAAAATCATAAACTAAAGGTAAAAATAATAAATTATTCAGGCCTAATTTTTTAAAATGACGAGCGTCTGATTCTACCATGTCGTGACAAATATCATACTCAAAACAGACCCCCAAACAAAATAATCCATGCACTCGGTGGCACAATGTACTCCTTTAGATTCAGAACAACACAATACCCTTTACTGTCATGTTATGTATGGTCGATCGTCATACGTCACAGGCGTAAAAGAGACGGGAAGAAGAAGTGCGTCATTGCAGATTTTTTTGGAGTAGACCTAAAGTCCCTGGACCACTCCCAGGTTCCATTTTGAGTTGTTGCGGTGATTCACGGGCTTCTCTCCACCCTCTCTCTCTCTCTCTCTCTCTCTCTCTCTCTCTCCCTCTCCCCCTCCCCCTAAGCTTCGGCCCTACCTTTGTTTGTTTGCTGTGTGTGCTGTGCGTTTACCATGTTTGTTTGTTGTTTGGTTTAAAAAAATTATAAGCATATGTTGTAAGTTCTTTTTCAAATCTTAGAAAACAATGATTGTAATCACTGTCCTACCAAACAGACGAAGATACTCGATTAAGAAAAAAACAACACAAACAAAACCAAAAAAAACAAACAAACACACAAACAAACAAACAAACAAACAAACAAACAAACAAACAAACGAACAAACTAGGAAAACTTCTTACACGGGATTCCCTGTGCTTCAAAGAAAACCTCTGTGATCTTGAAACCGTCGTAGAAAACAACCAAAAACGAAACCAAAACTGTAGGTCATACCGCGCTGATCGGTGCTACAGTGCCCTTGTCAGGACAGCCGCGGCGGTGACAGTGACAATGAAAGGAAGCGGAGAGAAAGACCTTGCTTGCAGCTGATGTGTGTGGTGGGCATGACGGATTTTGTTTTGTGTTTATTCGTGTGTGGTTTGAATCCATTTTCGTGTCCTGCTCTTTCACTACTGTTCCCTTTTCTGCGTGTCTGTCTGTGTGTGATTGTGTATGTGTGTGTATGTGTGAGTGTGTGTGTGTGTGTGTGTGTGTGTGTGTGTGTGTGTGTGTGTGTCTGTCTGTCTGTCTGTCTGTCTGTCTGTCTCTCTGTCT